CTTTAGTTTTGTGTATTTCACTATACATAAATTATATTTCAATAAAATGTATTTTTTAAAAAAATAGTTCAGGCTTCCTGTGATGCCCTTAGCCACTGCTGCCATGCCTACTTTATGCCCTACCAACTCATCTGGTCCACTCTGGGCATTTACTCATTAGTCCTCCCTCTTCCTGTGGAGCAACCTATGGGTAGAAGGGGTTGGTTCAGCCATCTGTGTATTCCTAGAGGCAAGAGCATTTTGTGGCAAACAGTAGATTCTTAATAAGTGGGTGCTGCATGAAAAGGAATAAAGAATTTCATGATTCTTACACAAGGATGCATGTCAAAATTTCTTGGAAGCTTACTCAAAAGTCCCGCATGTCTAGGACCCCCATCAACATGTGGAATCAGAGTCTACCATTCCCAGCCCTGGTGATTTTAGTATAAGACACTCTGTCTGTGCTCTTGCTCCAGGCAATATTAGGAACAGCCCCATAGGGCTGGGATTGAAGTTTTTCACTACCACTGGCCGACAAGGTGAAAAGTCACACTCAAGCCTCCATTCTCTCTTCTGCAGTAAAGCCTGCTTCGTGAGCCTATTGTCAGGATTCAGTAAATGAAGCATTAGTTGGCACAATAAGCATTAGGTAGCCCCTACCTCTTCCCATCTGGTGTGGATGCTGGGCTGAGGTGCTCAACAGAGAATGTCCAACTGAGACCTCCATCAATCAACTCTGACCCTACTGAATGCAAGATTACAACCAAGTTCCTAAAGCCACAGTCACACCTACTCTCTGACAAGATTGGAATATCTCAGACTCAAATGTCAGCCCAAAGATCAGGACTTTGAAAAGGTGATAGGTCAGCAAGCCACTGAAGCTTCAAAATTAGACACTTCTCTTTAAACTGTTTAATGGCTTACTTTCTTAGGGAGGGGGCCAAATTTGAAAGAAAGGCTCCCCTATGAACTGCCTGGGACACTCCCTTTGCCCAACTCTCCCACCCACAAGACTCCAGCACCAGCCCGACTGGTGCAGACAAAATTTACTTGGAGTCATTAGAGTGAGCAATTCAACAAACAGCCTAAAGAGGGGGTTGAAGAAGAGGAGTAGCACTGAGGTACAGCAGGGGCAGGGCTACAATGATTAAAAAATCAATCCCTAAAATTGTAAAGCTCTGGTAGCATAATACCTAAGGCACTTGACTGCTAACCAGAAGGCTGATGGTTCAAACTCACCAGCCACTCCTGGGAAGGTTGGGCAATCCTACTTCTGTAGTGATGGAAACACAAGGAGGGGTCACTCTGAGTTGGGGCCGACAGCAAACAACAAGAACAAAAATCTTTGAAACTTCAAAGAGATTTCTTTTTAAAAAAGTCCTCCATTCCCTTCCAACCACACACACACAGAGAGAGAGAGAGAGAGAGAGAGAGAGAGAATTTAGGATCACCCTCAAAGTTTTCATATTTCTAAAAAGAAATCATTGGTGCAGATCACAGCATAGTCGCTCCCTCACTTCAAGGCTTTCCCACTCAGCCTGGGAGGGGCTGCCATTGATGCTCTATTACTGGTACCAGTACAGGATCTGGATTCTCCTTACCAGAAGTGTTCACAAGAGGAACTCACGCAGAAGCCTTTGGATGCACATCCAGCATTGAAGATGCCACAGAACTATAGAAGTGAAGTGTTTAAAGCCTAAACGCTTTAACTCATTTCATTGTATGAATGAGTAAACTGAAGACCATGGCATTTAACAAGAATTGTAAAGAACCAGAATTAAAAATCAAGTCGGCCAGGAAGAGGGACCTAATACGTGCCAAGAAATTGTCTTGATTTATATCTGGTACACATCAGGTATGCAAAACACATATGTGGTGTAAGTGAATCAGTTAGAGAAGGTCCCAGGTGGGCACGTGTAGGAAAGCCGGCAGCGGTAGAGACATGGGACTGAGTGGCAAATCTCACAGCCCCGGGGATGAAGTAAGGGCAAATGAGCAGCAGGGCGTTAGCGGAACCTGGGGAGCCCTGAGAGTCCAGGGCCTAACAAGTCGGAACTTGGTTTACCTGCTTGACAGGGCTAACCAGGAACAGGTTCCCAGGGGGTGATGTCCAGGAAACACTGGAAATGGGGGGTCAGGGCTACGGAGGTAGACTGAGAAAACTTTATTCGAGAAACACTGAGCCACGCTTTGGATAACAGTCGGCGCGTCCAGGAGCTCGTGGCTCGGTCTGCAGGGAACTGACGCTGGAGGGGTGGACAAGAAGGAAGGCAGATTCGATATCCTAGACTCTTCGCTCTTTCTCAGCACATCCACATCTCCTCCAAACCGCAAAACTGTAGGGCAATAAGAAAGGTGAGGGCAACAGTGGGTTCCCATTTCAGTTCCAATGTTCATTTTCACTAAATCCCATTAAAAACGACTCGGGGCCGTCGAATGGAACAGTACGTGTATTTCCCAAGGAGAGAGGCAAGAGGGTGAGGGAACCGGAACAGATGTCCAGGGTGAAGGGTAAGCGTCCAAGACATACACTCTGAAAAAGTCCAATTTCGTGTCCCAAGGCCTGCTTGCCCGCTGGGTTTGAATCCGAAGCCGCGGGCGGGGTGAGAGTGCCGGACCCGAGTGGAGGCGCGGGGGAGTCGAGGCGGGACGCAGGATCCGGCGGGGTTTGGGGCTCAGGCCCGCAGGAAGGCCGAGCCGGGTGTGGCGCTTCCCTGCCGACCCTCACCGCAGCCCCTATTTATCCAGACTGCTCAGGGCGGGCCCGCTCGCCAGTCGTGCAGACTGGCGGCGTTAAGCGTGCCTCAGCCCTCAGTTCCCGACCCCTCGGCTCGAGTCTTTCTGGAGGGTGGAGCGGCAGTGAGGGTGGGCGCCGGGAGCCTTCTTTCTTTCCTCTCCTTCCCCCACCGGTAGAGTCCCCACCCTGACTCCCGCCCCTGCCCCGGGCCTGGTCGGGTGGAATGCTCCCGGGACCGGCTGCATTTCCCGCCTGGCTTCCCTGGCAGGGCTCCCTCCGCTGCTCCGAGGACTCTCGCCTTCCTGTTCTACCGCCTTGCGCCCTTGTAGGGTCTCAGAGTCTGGGCGCCCCTGGAGAGATGGAACGCCCAGGGAGTCGGCAGGCGGAGCAGGGCCCGTGAGGGCGGGGAAGGGAGGAACCTGGGGGCTGAGGGGCGGGGCCGGGGGGCAGCCATTGGTCTGGAGCGGCCCGGGGGTGGGAGGGCGGCTTGCGGGGCGGTCAGTGTCCCGAGAGCCAGACCTCAGACGCTGCGGTCGTCCCGAGAGCCAGTCTGCCTCTGGAGCACGCAGCCCGCGCGCCGCCCGCGATGAGGGAGATCGTGCATATCCAGGCGGGGCAGTGTGGAAATCAGATCGGCACTAAGGTGGGCCCCGGGGCAGGCCGCTTCTCTTCACCGCATTGTGGGGAGCCAGGCTGAACCCGAGATCTCCCAGCTTGACGCGTCTCGGCTGGGGACAGCGCAGCCAGGTTCAGACGCTACTCTGTGCCCCATCCTCTGAACCCGGGTGGGCTCCGCGGTAACCCAGAGAGTGCTCAGTAGGGGCGCGACGAGGGAGGGGGCGGCCCAGCCCCTAACACTTTCGCTCTAACTGCCCCCCCCCAAAAAAAAAACGGGGAGCAGCGCTGCGAATTCCGCAGCTGCGGCCTCCAGGAACTCTACTCCCTGTCCCAATCTCCCTGTCCAGCAGCCTGGCAGTACCCCCGCCCTCGGGCTCCTCGCATCTTGGGAACCCAGCGTCCTCCACCCCAGGCCTCCGGACCCACTTCCTGCGCGCCGCCCGCCCTGGGGAGTGGCTGATGGGCGCCGGGCGATCTGACGCTCTGTCTCTGATCCCCCGGTCCTGCGCTAGTTTTGGGAAGTAATCAGCGATGAACACGGAATTGACCCGGCCGGAGGCTACGTGGGTGACTCTGCGCTGCAGCTGGAGAGGATCAGCGTCTACTACAATGAGTCATCGTGTGAGTAGCCTGGCCGGACCCACCCGGCCCCGGTCCTGCGCTGAAAGGGCGCGCGCCAGAAAAAGTTCGCCCAGCTTCTAGCCGACTGGGGGCTCCTCCCTCGCTCCCCTTGGGGCGGGAAATCCTCTGTCAGTTTGTTTCAAACGGAGATTCAGCCTATCCCATAGGTCTGAGCTTTAGAATTAGACTACTCGTTAGAGTTGAGAAATCAATTTAGTGGGGCGTGTCCAGCATTCCCCCCCACCACCACAAAGGAATGGGATGAAACAAAAATTAAGAATAATTCAGAGTGCGTATTTCCACAGATACTTTTATTTCTCTTTAAAATGTGCTTCTTATTGGGGTGGGGGGCGGCTCTGGTGACGTACTGGTTAAAACATTCAGCTGCTAACCTAAGGCGATTCCAACCCAGCAGCCGCTCCGCAGAAGATGAGGCAGTCTGCTTCCTTAGAGATTTACAGCCTTGGAAACCCTGTGGGTGGGGTAGTTGTACTCTGTCCTAAAGTGTTGCTTTTGTGTCGGAATCTACTCTATGGCAGTGGGTTTGGTTTATTGGGGGTACTTGGTTAAAAGTTTGAAGAGCACTCCCTTGATGATTTTTCTGGTCCTTTGCAGACCTCCAAAAACACTCACAATCCCTGGAAACAGAAACTACAGACAGTCCTAGGCACCTAAGGGAGTTTTGTAAAAGTTCCAGGCTGTGGAATTCCAAGTTTAGGAATAGTATTACTCCTGATACTCTGGAATGCTTTTTATTACAAAATTGGGACGTGCCCTTCACAAAACAAGTTAAAACATTCAAAAGAAAACACAGAAAGGGATAGCTCCTACCCTTCTACAGGTTTGTGATAGATTCCCCAGAGATATACTCTTCTCCGTTTTTTTTATTATCTGTACTCTTGGGAGTCTCTTGCTGCTTGTCCACACAGGAAAGAGCAGTATGTACACAAAAATTAGTGGGTTTATTGTTGATTACGCAGACAAAAAGTCTGATGGAGTGTCAGGGCATAGAAGATATTCTTAGATAAACTAGGAAAATTCCAGTTAACCCTTATATCCCTCTTGGCCATCCCTCCTCACTCCACAACAGGATAACTAAGTAACTCACTGCCATAGAGTCGATTCCAACTGATAGCGACCCCCAATGGATTTTCGAGGCAGTAAATCTTTACAGAAGTAGATTGCCCCATCTTCCTTCTGGGGAGTAGCTAGTAGGTTTGAACCACCAACCTTCTGGTTAGCAGTCAAATGCCTTAGGCACTGTGCCACCAGAGCTCCTGCCACAGCAGGATGGGATCATATTTAACCCCATCCTGGCTAGATAACTGGGAATAATTTCTTGCCCAATTGGCATAAAGTGGCTTACGAATGAAAACACCACAATTTATTCCTATATGAGTGTCTCTGGGGGGAGATAGAGATGGTGGAATGGTGCCTGTACTGTGCTCAGATTGTAGCTTGGGTATAGGTAGGTGTGTGCATGAGAGAGGCGCCAAAAAAATGTCATGGCAACTTTGCAGCAGATAGGGTTTATTTCCGTGGCACTGAAAAAATAAAACTCCCCAGCAGTAAAGAAGTGTCAGAGTTAACTAGAAAATACAGTAGGCAGGAAGTCAGGAGACCTGTTCTTTTCTCCTGTTTCTTCCCCAAACCCCCTTTGTACCCTTTCATGCCTGGGCTGGTTTCATCATCTGAAAAATTCAGCAGTGGGCTGGGTTTCTCCCAGGTCCCTCTGGGTGTTAAAATGCTGTGGTTCTATGATGTTACAGTCCCTCTCAGAAGGATCCTGGTTTGGATCAAGTTGGTGGAACTTGATATGGGGAAGTCATTTACCATGTGGAGGACTCTAGAAATCAGAACATAACCCGTGTGGGGTGGGTTTTGTTCTCATCCAGCTCAGAAGTATGTACCCAGAGCCATCCTTGTGGATTTGGAGCCAGGAACCATGGACAGTGTGAGGTCCGGGCCTTTTGGTCAGCTCTTCAGACCAGACAACTTTATATTCGGTAGGTTCAATCTAATACTACATGCTTCCCTTTTTAAAAAAAAAGAAAAAAGAAATATATATATATATATAAATCAAACTAATTTATGTGCAAGATTAGAAACACCAAATGGTTAAGAAAAGTTTAGAATGGAAGTCAAGAGTCTTTAGCCCCACACTCCCACCCCCAGCTGGGCTTCTGAGTGGGAAGCCCTTTTAAAGTCTTGAGTTTTTCTTCAGGGAAATAAACTTCTGTATCTGTAAATGATTTGCTTATACTGAAAGTTCTTAATTGAAAAAAAAAACAACAACACTTTTAGACATTAATTTCTCTCTTCTCATAAAAAAGTCATTTCACCATTTGTTTTTGCCTCCCTCTGTTGGTCATCTTTTTACTCGAGTGTGTTGACACTTGTATTTCTTTTTCCATCATCTTTAGTCAGTTGTAGGCGCTCTGGTAGCCTAGTGCCTAAGGCATTTGACTGCTAACCAGAAGGCTGGTAGTTCAAACCCACCAGCCACTCCTCGGAAGGAAGTTTGGGCAATCTACCTCTGTAGAGATACTACCTCCGAAACCCAAGGAGGGATCACTATGAGTCAGATCTGACTTGACAGCAGTGAGTTTAGAGTTTTTAGTCAGTTGTACCGCTTTCTTTCTAAAGGTGTGTGTTTTATTTTTTCAGAATTGGGCAAATCTTTCTCCCTTCTACCTAAAAGATGATGATCACATATGTCTATCCACAGACTTCTAAAGAAAATTATATAAAATTGAATGAAGTGGTACTGTTACTGTTACATGGCTCCATCACCCTGTAGCCATGGTTTCTAAGGTCAAAGTTCACTTCAAAGTATAAAAGAGGAATGTGGTGGTTAAGTTTATGTGTCAACTTTGCTGGGCCTGGTTGAGTAGCTGGGCAGCTGAATGTCATTATTCCTCATGGTGAAATTGGTAATTAACTCCATGATGGAATCTATTGGAGCAGCTGAGTAGCTGCTATGGGTATGCGGTCTGCTTCCCATATATAAGAAACAGATTTGGGAATGGTCTCCAGTTTATAGCACACTTGAACCCTGTATGTAGCCGAGTCATTGTTCAGCAGCCTGCCATGCTCTGCCAACCTTGGAACTTGAATGAATGGCCTGCCATGTGGTTTGGTAACATCAAGACTATGCCATTTTACTTGTCAACCTTGGGCTTGTTAGCCTCAGCTACCTGAGTAAAGAGATGCCTCTAGCTCCCATGGGTGGGGAGCAAGAGGCAGAGCTGAAGCCCAAGGTCAAAGGGCTTTCACACAGCCCTAGAGCATGGCACTTTGAACTCAGACTTCTAGCCTCCTGAACTGTAAGAGATTAAACTCCTGTTTGTTCAAGCCATCCCATTTGTGGTATATTCTTGTCAGAGTAGCACTAGGTAACCAGAACAAGGAAGCAGAATCTTGGGAGATTTTATTGGCACATAAGTTGATTAACTTGTAGAGAAATCAAGTAATGGTCTATTGCAAAGGTGACTCACCAAGATAAACTTTCACAAAGTTTTTATAAGTCCTCCAAGTATCATTCCTTTCCCCATTACATGATAACCCACACAACAAGGGGACAGGCAGTGATTCAATAATAACTTGTTCTTGGGTTTTGCCACCTTTAATATTCCAAAGACACCATGACAACCCTCTCTGATGCCCCTTTTTTTCACAGCAGAAAAGCCAAATTACCAGTATTTTCATAGTGCCCAAACAGGAACATTTATGTTATTTACTACACCTTTCTTTACTGTTGTTGTTACTGTGTCTCCTCAAGTCAGTTTTAACTAATAGCAACCCTATGTAATAGAGTAGAACTCCATAGGGTTTCTAAGGCTATAATCTTTATGGAAGCAGATTGCCAAAGCTATCTTCTGTGGAGCAACTGGTGGGTTCAAACCCCATGACCTTTCAGTTAGCAGCTGAGCACATAACCTTTTAGTTAATAGCTGAGGGTATAACCACTTCACTACTAGGGCTTCTTGACTAGACTTTTCTTGTTGGAGACTAGTTATCCTCAAGCAAACCCAAACAAAACAAAACCCACTGCCATCGAATCAATTCTAACTCATAGTAGCCCCACAGAACAGAGCAGAACTACCCCATAGGGTTTCCAAGGCTGTCCATTGTTACAGAAGCAAACTGCCTCAGCTGGTAGATTCTGAACTATATAGATAGCATTCACTAGTAGTTTGGGAGAAGGAGCCAGAGTAAATTAAAACAATCCTATCAGATTGGCCAGTTTTTTTGTTTTGTTTTTTTAAATATGTCATCAGTTTATTGAACCACAGTGAAAAAAAAAAAATAATGCGCTGGGAAAAAACCTTAGTCAACTCTTAAGTTTTTGATCAACTCTTAAGTTTTTGACACATTCATTAACAAAATTACCAAATTTGGAAATATGCATGTCCTGTATACAGGTATGGGAGCCCTGGTAGCATGGTGCCTAAGCACTTGACTGTTAACCAGAAGGCTGGCAGTTCAAACCCACCAGCCACTCCTTGGAAGGAAGATGGGGCAATCTACTTCCATAGTGATACTGCCTTGGTTTGTATATACAAACCCAAGGAGGGGTCTCTATGAGTTGGGTCCAACTCGATGGTACATAACAACAACAGCAACAACATGTACAGGTATAAGGAGCTCTGACAGCCCAGTGCCTAAGGCATCTGACTGCTAACCAGAAGGTTGGTGGTTCAAACCTACCAGCCACTCCACGGAAGCAAGACTGGGCAATCTACTTCCATAAAGATTTACCACCTCAGAAGATGGCAGTGGGTTTTTTTTTTTTTTTTTGTATATACAGGTATTTTCCTATATCATGAATATTTCCTTAATTACACTTGAATGGATAAAAGGAGGTGTTAAAACTACTAACATATAGTGTTGGTGAAGGTGTTAGAGAAAAGAAACAGTCTTATACTTTGGACAGTCCCTGGAGAGACTGGTCCCTGGAGAAGGACATCATGCTTGGTAAAGTAGAGGTCAGCAAAAAGGAGTGAGATCTTCAATGACATGAACTGACACAGTGACTGCAACAGTGGGCTCAAACACAGCAACAGCAACAATTGTGAGGGTACAGCAGGACTAGCTAGCATTTCCTTCTATTTTACACAGGGTCACTATGAGTCGGAAGTGACTCAAGGGCACCTAACAACAACAATATACATTGTTTGGAGGACAACTTAGTAAATTCAGCAAATCAGAAATTTTGATGCCAAATTTTTTTTTTTTTTCCATATAAGAGTTTCATTTCAGAGAATCTGCCCTGAAGAAATGCTTGCATATACACCGTGGAAATTGTAAGTTTGCTTCCAACAGAGCTGAACCTGTTTATGCGCCCTCAAGGGTATCTGAGAACTCTTCGTCCTCATTGCCCTTGCCACATATGGTATTAAACTTTGTCATTTCAGAGGAACTGATCACTCATCGCTGTAATAAAAAAATTGACATAGATAACATTAATTTTCAGCAATAGTAGATATTTTCTTTGGTAAATTAAACCACAGTTCAAATTAAATGTGAACTGAAAGTTGGGAGAGTCTTATCTTTTTAGCTGTTAATAAACAGAATCAACAAGATTAAGATATTAAGATAGACCTAGATATATGGTGATTGTTTAATTACCTAAATTATTGTCCTTATAAACCTTCCAAAATATTAGAAATGACATTATTGTGGCATTTGACATGTCTCCAAGATTGCTTCTTTCATCTTCACTGATTTGTCACAATATGCATCCTATTTTTGATTCAGAATATTTTAAATTTTTAATAGGTTGTATTGATGTGAAATAGCTTTATTTAACTGTGATTTTTTTTAAATTGACACTTGTAATTAAAATTGTGAAATATTTAAATGAATATGCTTTTTGTTATAGGGAATATAGACATACCAAAATGTGTAAACATACTATGTTGTTTGGCTAAGCAGTTGTTTTTAAGTCATTCTCTAATAAAAGAGGCAAAAACTGTCTGAATTGGACATATTTCATCCCCTAGTGGCATTATAGCTCATAATTTCAATTAGAGTTGGTAAATTAAAATAAAGCAGCTATCATTCCATCTTCAGATATTGTTCGAATGGCTTAAAATATACTGCACTGATATAATATATAACACAACTTGCTTCCCTTTAAGTTTTGAACACATGAATATACTTATTTTTTAAAATTTTTATGTTTGCAGTGTTTCCTCTCCTCCCCTCCAACACCTAGAAACCAATAAAATTTTCTTCCATATACTTTTTTTATTTTATTATTCTGATTTGGGTGAAAATTCATGGAGCAAATACACTTTCCATACAGCAGTTCACATACACTTTGTCTCGTGACATTGACCACAGTTTACCACAATGCAGCATCTCCCCTCCTACTTTATCCCAATAGTTAGCTCTTCCCTGTGTCCATCCCTCCATGCACTACTGCCCCCTGAGCTGTCTCCCTGTGGATAAGCAGCCCTTCTTTCTCCCATGCTTTTTCTCTCCAAGGAGTGTATCTACCTCAGGTAAATGTTCAACTCATATGCCTTTCTATTGTTTGGCTGGAAGCCACGGCATGGGTTCAATACCAGACCTGAAGGGCAGCTAGGGGCCATAGTCTCAGTGGTTCCACCAGGCTCTACTGGACTAGTGAACCTGGTCCCCCCCCCTCCTTTTTTTCCAAATGATTTTGAGTTTTGTTCCACATTGTTCTCCCTCTCTATCCAGGATCTCCTACAT